GATTACGATATTACCCTCTTTTTACCTTTCTCCATTTTCCTTGTGTAGTTTCTTTATTTTTCTCTTTATAGAGTGTCATCTTATTCTATTTATCGTGTTTAACTTTACGTGGTTAAAATAAATCTGACAATTCCTTGCCTTCCAATTACAAGACAGCTTTAATTAGTCAACTTCTAGAATACACTGGTTACCAATTTCCCCATTCAGTAAGCACGTGTTTGTAGTCATCCTCCTCTACTAGTAACTGAATCGTCTACAGCAGTGCTTGGGCTGCTTATACAAACCATTTTGTTAGAAAACTTAAGGAACATAGGCTTTCTGTAAGCCTACTAATGAAATTTCTCCGTGTCGACATGTTACCTGTAATAAATCAGCTGCCCACTTTCATGACCAATTGAATATCTGCTTTCTGTGGGACGCATTTGAATTACTGACTGCTACTTTCTGCTCACCGGTCTCGCCACTTAAAATCACATCACACGACATTGGTTTTCAATATTTATAGTATAGTTAGATTTTTCAAGGAATTTAAACGACGGTTTAAATTCTATTAGAAATCCAATTGCTTTACTATAGTTTATTCAAAAGTTTACACTATATCACTACAAGTGATTACAGAATCATTTTAAAGCAACATTTAAGGCTAGATATATGTTTATGATCTTACTTTGTATCACACAAAGGGGAAGGTCCTTGTAGTGACCGACCTAACAATATTACTTTCCTCATCACACAAAATTAAAAGTAAGAAAGTTTTGTGTCTGAGTACTAAGCCATGTGGACACGACAACGAGAACTGTAAAGGAGAAATTAGAGACATTTGCTTATGTGTTGTGTCTTCTCTTTTCCCAAGTTTCTATCCCCAGCTTTTTAATTTGCATTCCTTGTTCATTTGCAGATATTAATTATATTTTTTGGCATATACAAAGCCTCGTCTAATAAACGTGAAGACACACTTCTGTCACCAGATACTAACGAGTGGTGATATTCAAGTTCTAGTCGCTTTATTCCTGAGGACAGTGTCACCGGTACCCATGGGGCATACAGCTGGGTAAATTCGAATGCCCCACTATCATCAGAGGCGGCGAAGAGAAGAACACAGTCTCCATCGGTTTCCCTGTCCTTGGGCCTTCGTAGCGCTTTGCCTGTTTTGGACCGTTTAGGCTTTATGTTATTGTTCTTACCAACAACTTAAGATCTGTTCCTGGTACAGATATTACTTTAAATCGAACAAGGCAAGCTTTGAATAAGATAACATGGGTGGGACACGAACTTATGTGGAAATGAGAAATTTATGCACAGTTTTAGTAGGGAAACCTCAAGGCAAAAGAGAGTTTGAGTGACCTGGGCGTAGATGGCAGGATTACACTAAAATTGTTCTTAGAGATACTGTGTAGGATGTGAGGGAATGGATTGAACTGTAAAGTCTCAGGAACCGGCTCAGTGGTGTGATCTTGTGAACTAATTAATAAACCTTAGATTTTTGTAAACAGCAGGAACTTTGAAGGTTGTGAAGAGAGAGGGAGAGAGAGAGGAAAATTGTTATTGGACTAACCAGAGAAATGAAGGATAACCACTGACCCAGAGAATATCTCATTCAAATCTTTACGTTCACTCAGTATAGGAGCTCGCTTTCCACAGTAATATTTAAATGAACTTTGCGCTTTAAACTTTTTCTCCACAAAGGATGGCGGTGACTTTATTTTAACGCTTACGCATACCAGTTCCCGGTAAACATACGTACGTTAACCTTACAGATTGGTAAAGTTTCGTCAGTCTTTTCTCGCAATAAATGTGTGTGATGCATCACAATTGTAACAATTAATCCACTGACTACTTGTATGAGTGAAACTTTACTTCTTCTATCAACAGTTTAAACAAATGAGGGCGCTCTGAAATGTCTCCGACAAGTGTAAAGATAATTTAAATGTTAGTTTTTAAGCATCCTACTGCAGCTGAATGTTTGTTTTCTTGCGATGACAGGGCGAGGTGGAGTAAAGAATTGTAATGTCTGCAAGTGGTACAGTCGGATTAATGCCACGTATTAATGGTATTAGTGTTGTAATTTAGCCGCCATTAGGCGTACAAGAAGTGTCTGCTTGAACAGAATAACGGCATATCCAGGTTCAAGGAAAAAAGGTGAGGTCTTAAGATTCGACGGTAGTGCAAATGTCGTGTGGTACTTGGGTTAAAATCGCGCTTAATCTCTGAAGATGGTTATAGACGTTTAGAAGAAATATGTAGACTCCTTCGTTAGGGTAGCCGAAACGTTATTTTTGGAAATATCACTGTCAATTATGCAAACTTTATTCTAAACAGGAGATTATTGTATAGTAGAAAGCCATGATTAAACTTTTCTAGTTCAAATTAAGAATTTGACATTTCTTTATTGAACAACACAGACATTAATAATGACATTAACACTTATAAAGCTTTCATCTCACAAACAAACGTAACTTTATGTAGGAAAAAGAACGTCTCAGATAATAAAATACTTCAAGTGAGAAATGTTTATTCGGGTTACAGAATAATTTATGAGAGAGAGTTAGAGAGAGAAAATGTTGTTAACATGAAACTAAACGGATTTAAAGAGATATTTAATGCACGTTAATATATATTTCTAAATTCAAACCTTAATGGACTTTCTATGGAGTAATATCCATACTTAATGACTTCATGTGAATTGTAATATCACACATTTACAAAAGAATAAACAAGAGCAATACGAACTGTAGTTGTATATTGTCACATAGAAATCGCATGGTGAAGTTTGATGGATCGAAGCGTAACGGAGATATTACAGAAAATCCTGGCAGAAACAAACGTAGAGTTTGCTCTTCGAGGTCAGAATACTTGTCTACCCCATTCTAGACGTATGCTCAGCTTGTAGTATTTCCCTCGATTCCAGTACCTGATGAAACCTAAGACTCACGAAATTTCATGTTGCAACTTTATTAAGTTCAAATATCTACTTGGGCACTAAATTTTTCAGTTAATTTGATAATCGTATAATAATGAGACAGAGAAAAATGAAGGAATAAGAAAAAGGCATACGGAAATAGAGTGATAATCCTATAATAATGAGACAGAGAATAATGAATGAATAAGAAAAAGGCATACGGAAATAGATAAAATAAAGACAATTCGTAATATATTGTGACGTGTTGCTTTGAGAGCGACGACAATTCGTAATATATGATATTAAATTGTATTGTCCGATCAAATGCTTGTAAAACTTTTCCAGTGACAATAGGCGTCGAATGCCAACCTCTTTATGCGAGAATTTCTCACTCTGATCAGAAAAAGTTCAGATTAAAGGAAACATTAAAATGCACATTTAAACTTATATTTAGTTTCGTTACTTTTGAAACATGTTGTACTGCCTATAACATGTATCACTCATGCTCTAGTAGACATGATGACCTTTGTTACTGACCGCCTGGTATCCACGTGTGGTCTTATTGTGATGCTTGGGCTTTGTTAAAATTACATCCAGATACACATCATTAATTACTGTGCTTTTTATAGCTTCTCGCCATTAATTCAACTTAACAATAGTCACGTAAGCTCGCCAAAAACAATTTGGAGCTCTTGTTCTCAATTCTTTTAAGTCAAACCGGCATCTAAAATTCAATAGTAATATGCTGACAGGTGACACTTTCCAAGGATAATTAATGAATGAGATGTGACAAGTGACAGAATTGGGTCTCCGGTTTGTCATGTGGCCACATCGTATGGGGGAGGTTCATATCTTGTACCCGTCCACAGTGTTTATTCAGTGAGGTGGGTATAGGCCTGTATGCTAGAGAGATATAATGGATGAAACAGAAACAACAAACCTCGGGAATCAGCGGATGTCCAAAGAAACCATCACTTCATGAATAGGCTACAAGTCTATTCCTTGTTTCATTCAAAATACGTAGTTGAGACCTGCAATTGCCTGTTTGTTGTGTTAACTAACTAACTAACTAGATGACTTACCGAACCCTAAGGTTCATCACCGAATTAACCAAAGCCCTCCCCCGGACCCTGTCCTGGGCCAACAAAATCCAGTTTCCTTCAACTCCTATCTCCCATAGATCCCGCCTGAGATTATCCTCCCATCTACGTCTAGGTCTCCCCAGCGGTCTCTTCCCCTCAGGCTTCCCAACCAATAACAGGTGCACATCTCTTGTCCCATCCATGCGCGCTACATGCCCAGCCCATCTCATTCTTCTCGACTTAATCACCCTGACAATACTGGGGGAGGATGGATACAAATTCAAAATGGATTTTAATAGTCCCTTTTATGGTATTTTATGTGTTCTGCCTTCTTATGTCTCAACATTTATTAATTATTTATAGCAAAAATGTTATTAATACAGGACTGAATGTACATATTTAGCCCTGAAGATGGAAGCAGTTTCTCCTAAACTTTGACGTTTACCAACAAGTTTACGCGGCACCATATCTCAGAACATCTTCTTCATCATCGGTCTGTTCGCGTTTTATTCGGTCCAGACAGATACTATTTTTGTCATAACAGTTCCTTAAAATATTATTTCAGAAGTTTGTACTCTGTGTCCGTCACTCTTAGTTACGTACCCAGTTTAATTTTCGTATTGTAGTCCAATAATGAGTAAAGAATATTTGGGTTTACTCTCTTGTTTTACCTTTTAAATTATTGTTAATATTTACACCTAGTGATTCATGTCTGTGTATTTTGTTGTTTATATATTTGTTATATTTAAATTACATGCCTGGAGGAAGAATATTAAGTTTATTATTTTTATGGTCTTCTATGCAGATCTACGGAAAAGTGTCTGTTTATCAATATTCAGATACCGGTATTCCAAGAAATAAATGTGAAGGAATTTACAGCTAAATTCTTTATTTGAAGAGGTCACAATACGTAAAATCCAAAAATGAGTCTTATTCGCTTGATATTGATTACTTTAGCCTAATAATTAATAACGTCTCGCCAGACTCGTAAAATAATATGCTGCTTTTCCTTGTTGCAGTGTTCAAGCGTCATGATGTCAGTCTGCACCACGTACCTACACCAAACATCGGCTTCTCTAAGGTGAGTACGCCATAGGGTGCCTCCAAAATAACTGCTCTATGGTTTTTCTTTTAAAATGATCATTTAAAGCTGTCATGAGGTAATATTGTACACGGTTATTAGGATTTGTTTATGAAAAAGTGTCTTAATTTAATAATCGATGTAATGTTTTGTCCCGAATGTTTCCTCAGTTGGTGCCGAAATAAGAGATAAAAATAAGCACGTTATCTGTGTCTTGAATAGGAAAAATGACAGAAAATGCAGGCAGTATTTAAAAGCACAAAGGGAATTACTTGAAACTAGATTAAAGGACACCGCACAGAAAGAAATTTATACAGCCGGCTTTGTTACTCAAGGACCCAAAATGTAGTTTATATTGGAGAGAAAAAAGTACTTACAGAAGTCTGGTACGGGAACCTCTGAGAATGTGGCCATTTGTAAGACTGAAAACAAGATAGGAAAAATATATCAACATTTATAAGATGAATTAGCCCAAATCCTAATACGCTAGACATATTTAGTGTTACTCTTCAGGCAATTTAACTGCGTTCCATCGTCAGATTAAAGATGATTTCTAGTTAAGAATTAGATAATGTTATGATTATTATTTTGGGTGAAATGCAGAGGAAGAGTTGTTTGTTTTTATGGAAGAAACTACGAAGAACCACAGTCGAAGCAGCTTATGTAATGAACAAGATTCGAAACGAGTTCCCCTGCATTCAAGACACAAATGCTGCTGCTGTGTCAGTCTGTTCGGTGTTTATTTAGCCGTGTGAATTCAGTCTTCCTACCCTTATATTATGGTTAAAGTTATAACATTTTAGGGGATGAGGTACGTGACCCTTTTCAATCTCGACCTTACATCTCGTCTGCAATCGAAAGAAGCAATAAAGAACTGGCCCGCCCGCTTGTAACAACCTCGATTCCGCCTTCCTCGACTATAGTGCATACTTATTATAGTTTTAGTGGACTCTGCGATTATGAGAGTACGATCGACTCATTCCAGAGACGTAAGTTGTAATGGTATGGTCATTGTCCTCTTATCCTCTGCCTACAGGTTGTGATTTCGTAGTCAGAAATTGCATAGATAATTTTGTTGTTGAATAGCGGTACATTTCGTGTTTCTCCATGCGTACTACAAATTTCATCCATCTGATCGTCACTGCTTTCATCGCCCCAACAACACGAATATTAGGCGACGAATACGAATTACGAAGATTTTCATTATGTTAACACTTATGTTATTTATTTCATGGTTACAACTGATCCTGAAATATGCTCTAGGCTGCCCACTGTTTAAAGCTAAAGGGTCATGTGGTAGAAACTTCGCTTTGTAGGTGGAGGCAGTAAAGATCTCCGAAACGTCGGAGTTATTTGGTCTAAATTAAAAGAGCGTAAAGCCAATGCTGCTGTACACAGAGATTCAAACGTTGCAATTTGACATATGAACACTGAGTGCTAATGCACCCATATCAAATACAATTGACGTAAGAATTTGGTCTTCTGTTAATCAGCTATTTTGTTGACACGTCTTTCTGGCATGACATTGTAACCATACTAATTAATGAAAATCGTATACAAAAATACTGAATTTTATATTGTTTTCTGTATGCCTTTGTCGATTTATGTTCGAAACGTGATAACGAAATGCAGTTATTTCTAGTAAAGGACATTCTGGGCGCCACTGGTTTAAAGACGTTAGTTGTCTGTGGGGCGAAGCTCGAACTTGTGACCTACTTGCCTGTTTGCTAAATCTTTTCGTTCATTTCGGCATTTCAGGTGTATTTCATTAGGCACGAAATACGGTTTTAATCGATACAATTTCATGTCTTTTGTATGAAGAATGGTAGTTCAAGCCTCGGTTTGTAAGTACTGGTCATATAAAGAGATGAATCCCGCGTCCTGGAATAAAAAATGAAGACAGAAGAGGGGAGTGGAAAGGGAGGGGGAATAAGACAAGATAACGAGAGCCCACTGAACCTGTTGCCACGGCTTAACCGCAGAGGTCAGACGGGGGATGACCCGAGAGGGTTAGTACTTACGTCAAGGCATTCCCACGATATGGGCGCGATACGTGGCAGATCTAGTTATGTAACCGGGTCCGTATACGCCGACTCTGCTCCTACATCCGGCAGGAACACTTAGCTTCCTGATTGTCACCTCTTTATACTTGATTCAAGCATTTAAGAATCTGTCCGATGTTTTAGCTTGAGTAAGTTGTTGTGTTTGTTTATCTTTATTTTCTTTAAGATTTCTGTCTTCTGGGTTTGAATTCATCTCTCTGATAACGGAGGCAGTATGACCTCGGAAACGTTGGTAAACATCGACCAGACTCCACAGCGCAACAACCCAGAAGACAGAAATCTGAGTTTCTTGATCATCGCCCTGATGACGGAGGCAGTATGACCTCGGAAACGTTGGTAAACATCGACCAGACTCCACAGCGCAACAACCCAGAAGACAGAAATCTGAGTTTCTTGATCATCGCCCTGATGACGGAGGCAGTATGACCTCGGAAACGTTGGTAAACATCGACCAGACTCCACAGCGCAACAACCCAGAAGACAGAAATCTGAGTTTCTTGATCATCGCCCTGATGACGGAGGCAGTATGACCTCGGAAACGTTGGTAAACATCGACCAGACTCCACAGCGCAACAACCCAGAAGACAGAAATCTGAGTTTCTTGATCATCGCCCTGATGACGGAGGCAGTATGACCTCGGAAACGTTGGTAAACATCGACCAGACTCCACAGCGCAACAACCCAGAAGACAGAAATCTTCATACTCACTGCCGTGAAAACCTCAAATCATACATTCTATTTTCTTCTGCCTAACTTGTTCTTTGTTTTATTTATCTATCTGTTCTGTGTTATTTATGTCCTTCCTTCATTTTTATTTCTCTCCCTTCTTATTATTTCTTAAATTTGTTTTGTGTATCTCTATTTGTTTCCTTTAATTCATTTCTTCTCCCCCTCTTTCACTATTCCTTTCTTTGCTTTGTGTTTTTATTCCATTTCTGTGGCCTGCATATCTTTCTTCAGTTTTCCTCGTAAAATATTATAAAAGAGCATGGTCAATATTATTACTTTGATTCATAACTTATATTTGCACCGCCTTTTTATCTTCTAATGGGTTTCCGTAATTATATTTTGCTTGCGTCGTTGTTTCCCATATATCCATTAGCTTCCTGTCACTTTATACAGATATTTGTCCAGGAGACTGGAATATGTTCAGATACTATTTTACTTTCAAAACACGAGCGCCTATTGTGGGAAGCCGCGAAACAGAAAACGTTTCCTGTTTCTGACGTAGGCTAGTTCCTCTGCACGCGACAATCCGTGTATGGTATTGGGGGTCTGGCCTCCGGTAGGTGGACGGTGTTGTGTGTGTCAAAGTTAGTTTTGAATTGACACATCTGTCTCACTTGAACCCTGAAGTCGGTGGCAAGATCCATTCATTTCTCACATCGCAGCCACTCGGAGACTCAAGAGGCCATTTAAGGCTTTACGTCACAACTCAGGGAGACGTTAATATGGGACAGGACAGACATAATAAAACTGTTTTAGAAAAAGAAAGTTTGCTTCCGAAGACGACTTCGCTCTGCGCAGTGTAGCAGGCACAAGATGTCCAGCGGATGCCATCTAAGGCTGAAATAATGTGCAATTTATTTATAAACTATCCTGCATGTAACAAAAGGTTTCGTTTTCACAAAAGTCAGTTTCATTGTAATATTTCACGACACTCAGTGTGATCTCTGCTTTGTGCCTTTTAAACGAATACTAAGTTGTAAAAAGATTGATCGCTGACGCTTCTGTGCACAGACTTTGAGAAGTTTATTTCTTGTTTAAATTTCTTACAGGGGTGTACAGGACTACAATAGTCAACGCTAATAATGTGCTAATTTGTATTCCTTGGATTAAATAATATCTCATCAAGGCACTAGAGTCATTGGATTTAAGTTATGGTGCTGTGATTCTGAACCTATTGGTCAAGATCATTATGTGGTCGTTGACGAAAATTTCAGAAACGGTGTAAGATTGCTTAGCTTTCCGTTCCAGCAGCCGGATATTTCTGACTGAAATACATTAAATCACGATTTTCACGAATTTTACACATATTTAAGATCTGTTATCGCGAATCATTTCAGAATGCTTTTTAAAAGTAACCCCTCCCTCGACGATGTCCCTTTGGGCTTCGGATATTTTATCCCCGGTAAAGTTTCGACTTCATTAGAAACTAGATGTTTCAAGATCCAACGTGAACTTTGTAACATGAGCAAAAATCCCTGGCTTTGCCGGAAATTAGACCTGGCTCTCTAGCCAATAACTAGCCATTTTACAGAGTTGTCTCATTTCGTTTGCATAAGTTGTGCTAAATCGAAAGAAAATCGCTTTTTTTACTAAAAAATTGGTTTATGTGTGTACAAAGCTCCACTTAGCCTTAACCTTGGCAATAGATGGAGGTGAGTGGTCATCTTCACGCCCCGTCCGCTTTAACACCGTGTAAACAGCCGAGGTGCATATTGGATAGGAGACTTGGTAGGCCCCAGAGCCTGTCTGGACCCCAACCGTAAGAAACAGATCACTTGTCTCTATCCTTACCTTAATCACCATAGGCCTACTGACTGCTGTACCCGAATCCTCGTTCTCCATACGCCTTTTGAATGGACCATTATGAACCTGTTAGTCGGTCACCCCTGTGTCTTGGCGAATGGGTTTGAGGCTTGTCGTAGACAGCGATAGTTAAATATCTCCGAAGCCAGGTGAAACTCTGGATTCTGCCTTGTCAAATTTAGTTTGAGATCTAGACAACGAAGCCAATCTGCAACGCTTAGTGTGCTTCTCGCTGACAGTTCCCAGGTCCACCGTCAACTGTCTTGAGACATGTGGATGGATGGGCTTCCACCTGTGTGGACTCTTTATCTATAAATCGAACTGAAGGCAATCTGAAGTGACAGCAAAGAAACGACACAAAGCAGCAGTTTGGTTGCTTATCAGTGCGATGTTCTCGGTTCAGGC